TCTCATTCGCCCTTGAAGACTGTACTGATAAAGAATAAGATTAATCTGAAAGTATTTTAAGTTTTCAAACAGAAAATAAAATTTGCTACGTTTTTAGTCAGAAAGAGCACACAAGTTTTAATTTAACCACTGTTATTTACATGTATTCAAGTAACTAAGAGAGAAAAACATTAAAACATATTAATAAAATAACTTACTGAGTGATATGGAAAAGTAATCATTTAACAACAATGTCTACAAGGGCTGTTCGATCTTCTTCTTCCAAATACTTATTTATTTCATAAGTTTGAAGAATGGCCTTACCCTCTAAAGACTGACCAAGCAGTTTCTTTAAATCCTGAAAGTAGAAATAACAAAATTTTTTGCAATGTTCTTATAACAGTAGCAATAAAGAGTCTGCAGTTTTGATGTGAAAGCTTGATTAATAAAAAATCATAAAAAAAAGTTTGTTCTTGGATGATGATAAAAAAATTGATATATATCAAACATAAAAAATAATTAGTTTTAGCTAGTGCGTTATAAAAATGTAATAAAAGCAAAATAACTACAAAATATTTTGATCATATTTTCTCGATGGCACGGGTGCATATAAAAATCTTAAGCTGACTTAAACAATGAAACTAAAAGTAAAAGTCAAATTTTTTTACTTACCAAATCCATTAATTCATTTGAAGCACTTAAAGCAGTGATTCTTTTTTCAGCAAACATATTTGGATCAATCATTTTTTTCTTCTTAACAGAAATTGAATTTTCTATTCTAAATTTTGCCTTTTTTAAAATCCTACTTTATTTAAAAATTCATTATTTTCCAAGTCTGATTCCGAGTTCTAAAATAATAAAAAATTAATATATAGTAGAATTATAAATTAAATAGACTAAATCTTCTTTTTAAACAAAAATTATTTTCAAATATAAATAAATTTGATGATATATATATCCATTCTAGCATCTATAACTTTTCATTATAGTACAGCAACATCTTATTTCAATTCAGACGTATAAACGCCGTGTTCTCATGCAGAATATACAACAAAGGAAAATTTCTCACACACACACACACACACACACACACACACACACACACACACACACACACACA